ATATACCAATACCCACACACCCAATACACATATACATGTTACTAATTCGTATATCATGCACATGATGACACACACATATATATGTATAGTCACCAGTTTACACACATACAACCCACCTACACATGGGCACAGGTGAGTTCCTAACTTGGGTGGTACGGGGGTGGGTGGGTGTGTGTGTGTGTGTGTGTGTTTGGGGTACTTGGGATACCTGGGGGACGGTTAAGGTGAGAGAGTGAAAGTGTAGGGAGTGAAAGTAGCTGGGACTTGGATTAGAACTGGTAGACTAGAGAGAAGCTGAGCTGAGGAACTGAGGTTTGGGGTTGCTTTAGGTTAATGTGCCCTGGAGTTACTCAGAATCACCTGGTGCCAGAGTGGAAGCAAGGGAAAAAGCCCGGTGGCAAGGAGGAAACAGCCAGGAAAAAGAGAGGCAGAAAACTGGGAGATTGGGGCTGGAACCTGAGAGGCAGAAAGCTGGGAGATAGCTGGGAAATCAAGGAGGAGGGTCAGGAGGTCAGTAAGACAAAAATCCAACTTGGGGTTTCAAAATAACACGTTTATTAAACAGACAAGACACTACGCAGTCCCACCAAGTTATTGGTGTGTACACACACACACACACACACACACACACACACACATACACACAATGGTAGCAGGAGAGAAAAAGGCTTGGTGGAGGGGTGTGTAGGGATGAAGTCCAGGTTCTTTGCTTGGGGAAGGAAGGTGGGTGATAGCTACCTGTCCTGGGCTGAGAGTTGATCATTGATGGCTGGTCGGGGTCTTATCCAGCAAGGTGTTGTCCAGAGGGGGTCACTGGCAGGACTTCTGGGTGGATAGGTGGTGTGGCATGGTGCTGGTCCTGATGGAGAAGGCATCCCACTGGGTCTGTCTTCTCACCCCTTTTTTATAGGGGCAGACCTTCTATGACCCTAGTGGGAGGGGCATGCCCAGGCAAGGGTCAGCCCTGGTGTACTGAGCATGTGCACTCCAGGCGAGGATGTGCCGTTCCAGGTGTCTGTGTTGCAATAGTGGGTTGGCTGGTTTCTGTAGGGTCTTTGTCTTTCAAATGTTGGGTTTCTGTTCCGTCCCTGGGTGAGTCAGTGGAAGGCAATGGTCCTGTTGTTGTGCTGACGGTCCACTCATTGAGTTGATTATTCAGTAGAGGCCTGCTACCATTGTATCTCAAGCACCCTCATTCATCCCTATTCATTCAGGAACCAATTTATATGAGACTGGTTAGACATGAGTCATAGGTTTTACCCGGGCAGAGGACACAAGATGGAGGCTTGATGTACAAAATGGAAACTTGACATGACATAACTTGACATTATTTATGCTAACTTACACGTGTAGGCCTAAATCATATAGTATGAATAGAAAAAACAGTAAAATCAGTAAAACACTATAAACATAATAATTATACAATATAAAACAGTGAATCAAAGAAGGAGAGAGAAAAAAAAACTTGCTACAAAAATGCTAAAGCTTATCCTATGTCTTAACTTACTCATACTTATCTATAGGGAATAGAGAGGGAGAGAAAAAGTCAGAAATAGCTGGGGAAGGGAGGGAATGTATTTAAAAAAAAAACAAAAAAAAAAACTGGGGGTTTTGCTGCAGGATAGTCTGTAGAGGTCCGAACTTACCCTGCCTGCATAGCATCAACCAACATTTAATTCAGTATTTATGTTATACTCATGCTACAATTATTTTTACTCAGGTCTGCTTTAGTTCAAGATTTTCTAGTTTTCCTTTACCCAGGTAACCAAAATATTCAACCATAACAGATATATTACTAACATGGACCAGCAAGGAAATGGATCCTACCTTCTCTTTTTCTCCCATTAGATCTCAAACAAAATACTACAAAACAGTACAAAATCAAAAGAGTTTATTGCATATTTGTTGCATACTTTATCTCTCCAGTATCAGGCAAGCCATAAAATGTTGAAATGCACAATATGAGATCTACTGATATATTAGTCCAAGACCCTATACATCAACAGCTACTTGGCTGATTATACCATAGTATTATTTTCCAGGAACGTGTTTGCTGAATACTTTA